TAAAATTATCAAACAAAAATAATTAGTAAAAAATTTATAGATTTATATAATTTATGACAAATCTGATGAATATATTTCTTTGTAAACATTAATATTCATGTATTATAATCCAGACTATCAATATAATCTTTGATATTTTTTGCCAAATATTTCTTTAATATTTGATGATATTTCTTAGAGATTAAAAAGAGGATTATAGAGATCAACTTCTTGATTATTTTCTTGTATACTTGCTATATAAAATAATAGAAAAAAACTTTAGTAGATTTTACAGATTGATTTTTGATTTTAAAAATAATCAAAGATAAGTATCTTTCAGAATATTTCAGATAATTCATTAGTGATGACTAGTTTTTTAATTAATTTGATTTATTCTTGTGCTTGATTATCTAAAAATTGACAAAGATGATATATATTGTCAATTTTTTTGTTTAGAATATTTATTATATGCTCAAATTCTTCATAGGTCAAATATTTTTTATTATTTGATGCTTGAGTAAGTGGAAATTGAGTTGGTGATAAAGAATGCCTAATATTATTAATCTTTATATTATCGCTAAATGATAAATAATTAAATGAAGCAAATTAATATATAAAAGAATAAGATGATAAAAGAGAAGAAATCATGATAAGATCTATAATTTCTTTATACTTGTTTTTATTATCTATTAAGTTTGAATTTGAAAAAATAATCAGTTTATGGATAGCTAGAAGAATACATAAAGCTATTACTCATTTTTTAAAGATCATAAAGAGCATTTATGACATAAATTCAAATGAAGATGTAATAAATATACTACATATTCAAGAAATCTTTATGAACTTGAAAAAATATTGCAAGAAGAATGAAGAAAAATTCCATTTAAAATCTATATTAAACTTATAGAAAGCATATCATATAGAATCAAAGCATTCATTAAGAGTTAAGAATGGCCTACTAAATATTAAATATTATATTTATATCAAAAATCTCAAATAAATAAAATATTATTTTGGTTAACTAGATACTTTTCCAAGGGTAGTATATATAAAAGTTATATTCTAAATCACAAATTACAATTAATTTAAATTAAAATAGAAATGTGACCAGAATTATAATAGAAATATGGCTTAATGCTGAAAGATTATGTATTTGATTATTTTAATTTGAATCATATCCTGATTGTTATTTGAAACAGATTGTAATTTTGAATACAACATATATAATTTAATATTAAAATAACAAATTGCTATTATCATAACCCTAAAAGATTATGTCAAACTTATAATTCAGTATTTTTCATTATATTATAATTTTATTATTAATTATCTTTTTTATTATCTAATTTATCTTTTTTCTTTCTACATGTATTTTTAGCAAATTTTTGTATTTTAAGTTATCGTTATCTCTATTTAATGAAATTTGCATCTTTTTATTCGTCTAAGCCAAATGCTTGATTTATTTTCAAAATAATACCTGCATATTATTATTACTATCAAATTATTATAAAATGTAAATAACTCTTATATACATGTAATTACACACAAAACTTTAAGGGAAAAAGGTAAAAGGAATACAGTAACTCTCTTTATAGTATGTCAAAAAATCTATTAGTAAAAAATTTACTATATCGAGTTTTTGAAAATTCATTAATAAAACTGTTACACGGGATTTTCTTAAGGATATTGAGAGTTTCCATTATAAAAGAGGTCCACTATAAAGAAAGTCACTGTACAAAAAAGTGCGCGCGCTTAAGGGAGGGAGGAAAAAAGATATTAAAAAAATTTTGTTTCATTTATTATAGTCCATTTATTATTTGTTTTAGTCAGTCCGTTTTTTGTTTTGGTAAGAAAACTTTCACCTCGTCCTGTCCATAAATAGTCAATAGTCGACGAGCCAGTCGTAATTTCTTGCGTCTGTCATCAAGGGAATTTGACAATCTAGGTTTAAATAAGGAGTCTAGTTCGTTTTTTCGTTGTGTGGTAGTTATTGCTTGGGCATTATTATTGGAAGGTACTTTAGGAAGCAAGTATCTAAATAGTAATTTCGCTATAAAGACAATATTCTTTTTCATACGAAAAAAGTAATCGAGTTAGGTCAGCAAAATATTTAGAAATTTGGTTATATTTAAGATTTATTACCTCAAAAGCGAAAATAAACGCCACACGAATAATCAACAACTGATAATCTGTCTGAACATACACCTCAAAAACGCGTTGCATATAACTGGAATGAAACGCGACTATCGTTGCGTTCGTCAACACAGACAAAAACGAAATCACATGGATTATTGTGTCCCACATTCCGATATTTTGAGCGAGAAAGCCAATTGGTCGTTGCATCACGACTATATACTGATATACGATTTAGTGTTAGCAGAATTCGAGTCTTTTTAAACATGCATTGTTTCTAATTTATTTACCTTGTGTGCATCTGTTCGAATTTTCACAAGATTATTTAATAGTGCGAATAACGGCGCTAATGGAAATACGGTGGAGAACAACGAAATAAACCCAAATTGTACAACTAAAATAAAAACAAGAGATCGTTTTAATCACAGAACGTAGGAACCAAAAAAAAAATGATAGTTTTTTTCTTACCCATTTCTTGGTAATCTGATCTAATACTGTCATCGTTATTTGAAGATAACAGTTTATCATCCGTTATCCATTGTTTATTATCAGTAGGTTCAGTTTTTCCTTCTGATTTTATTTTAGGCTTAGAGAATCGGTATGATCTCGATGAAGAGGAGCAGCAAAATGACAGAAAGAAAAGTGGGTTTATATAAGGATGCCGATCGTATAGATTATCAAATTTGAGTATGATCCATCTATAATTGAAAAAAAATTGAATAATTCGTAATAAAGCATAAAGCATAGATGTTAACGAATACGTACGGCATTAAAAGTTGCTTGAATTGATCAACTGATTGTTTACCAATAAGCCTAATAACAAGCTGAATAGTGAGTTCAGTCATGCAATTATGGTATTGGCATCCTTCTACAGTGTCGTCTCCATACAAGAGTTTTATAGAAAACTAATACGAAAGGTATTTTTTAGTTAACTAAAATTCATATTGTAAATAATATCGTTAATTGACAAATTACCTTTTGATTGAACAACAGAATATAAAAAAGTGCCGAATAAAAATTCACAAAATCGAATAGATATAGTTTAAGTATCAATGAAGCTTGAAAGTAAAAACAAACCGATTAATACTTGTAACAAAACTAACAGAAATTAAATTATATAATAATATTTAGTTATAATAAATACCTTCATAGTTTGTGACAGTTTTATGATTCTCGAAATCAGTCAGTATCTTTGCAATTTTTCCATAGACCTATTCGAAAGTACAAAAAAGACTCCAAAATAAATATACATTTATCTCCCGAAATAGGTATCAAAAAAATTTATGCTAGCATACATACAGCACTAAGCATAATGACCAACGCCAAATTAATCAAACTCGAGAAAAAGCTACTCCAGACTCCAAAATTGAACCACACTTTGGAGAATAGCAGTAATTTTCCAATAGAGACGAGAACAATTAAAATCTGTAAAATTGATTTATAAATAATTATAAAGCGAAAGTCTAAACATCCAGGAATATTATCTTAGATACTTACAGATACAATTATTATACTTATCGACAAAAAGTTTTGTTGTATTCTTTTTTTAAATGGAAAGCGAATTTCGTCACGATTTGATGATATTAATAAATCGCGTAAAACTACGGATGCGAATACGAAATTTTATTAGCATACGTGAGTATATAATTAGAATTGAAATGTAAATCGAAAAGTTCATACCTGTTCCAAAAAAGAATGGTCGGGGTTGTTTCTCCATTTCAAAATCAGACATTCCCCACTCGTTAACAAGAGCGGAATTATATCGCTTCCAGGATTCCAAGAACCATGTGGCTAAATAAGAACAAACGAAAAGCATTAGAATATTAAACTGATATATACGAATAAGATTATTTGAACACACTTACACCATATAGAAAGCAACAATGCGAATGGTAATGTCAAGACGTTATCCCAAATTTTAAAGATTCCAAAAATTCCATTATTAAATTCACCTTTACTAGAAATTTCATAATACCTATTTAGTATTACTTCATAAAAATTGGAACAAAAGTCTTGATTTATTTACCTTGCTGCATCAATCACACCATATAATATAGTTATAGCACCTAATATTGTCGCAATAAATAACCATGATGAATAGAATCCTAATTCAAAACTATAGTTTAGTAATATGTAGTATGAAATGACGAATTAATTCAACTAATTTATTACCAAGCCATGCAAAGTAAAGTGCCAATTTTTCGCCAAAGTATTCCCGGATTTTTTCAAGTGATCGTCGATTTTTTGATTTAAACAAATTTGAATATAGCTCAACTCTCATATTTAATTTTTGATTCCCGTCGTCGTCGTCGTCGTCGTCGTTGTCGTCATTATTATTGATATGATTACTGCTGTTCAAGTTCTTCTCTTCTTTTTCGTTTGAAAGTGATTTACTAATTATAATTTGATTCAACTTCGCGCACACATCATTATATTGCTTTGTATATGGAGACCCATAATGAAGTGGAAAATGACTAGCATAAATTTGCTTTTGTATCAATGCGTCAAAAGCCAATGCTAATATTCGTTGTTTCTCTGACTGTTTTCCTTCTATTTGGAGTCGAAAACCATTAGCATTTATGATCAGATAATGCGTCTAACGAAAATAAAAAAAATTATCAGCATTTATAACAAAATCTTTAAAGATATGAGTGGCTATAATGTACATACTAAAAGATTTCGTCTTGATCCACTCCAAAAGTTCAACATTATACGACTCCAATTTTCGTAATGTGCCCCTTTGTAATCCTTTAAATTTTCTTTTTTGAATAAGACTGATTGTTTTGTAATATTCATTTTATGATGAAAATGACGAGTCGAATACTTGAGTATTAAATTATTATTGAATCTTTCATTTTCAATTGTCTTTTGTTTATTATCGATAGAATTTTTTTTGTGTAAGAGAAACGTTTGTTCTATTGTCGCGATTTCATTGAAGCTTGTAATGTCTGATTCTTTTTTCTCGTCATATTCTTCTTCGATTTTTCTCGACTAAAGATTAATAAACATTAGATTATTAATAATCTATCCGTCTGAGAAAATAAGTATTCGTATAAACTCACCTCTAGTTCAACTCTTAATCGCATGTGCTCAGCAGCTTCGCATAATTTATGAAAAGGTGACCAAATTTTGATAAAAGTAAATCCTCTCTCTAAATCATTTTGATGCTCCAATATTAGACCCGATAACAAGAGAAGAAACTCGAATTGTTTACGCTCTTCAATAGCGGTGTATTGTTCTTTGACTTTATCTTCTTCGAGTTCCCCGTTTATGCTGTTGTTTATTGTTTTAATTTCTATTCGTATATTATCGTTGTCGTTTTCTTGTTTTATTCTTGTGGTGATGGGTGATTTAAGAACGTAATCGGGATAATCGTATTCGTAAATGATTTTTGCGAAAACATCAGCGACTTTTGATGTCTTTTCTGTGGAATAGTGTAATTATCTATAAATATGAAGGACTATGTAAAAGCCGTAATGAAACATAACTACTTACCGAAATAATTTATCGCATCCTCCATATTATAATCGGGATTACTTTGTTTCCATTCAATCATATCTTTAAAATTTTTCAGATCATTTTCTTTTTCACCCTTAAGTAAAGATAATGTTCGATTCCCTGATTCATCCAAAATAATCTTCAATACTTTATTCTTCTCCTTTAATTCACTGCTGAACTTCTCTACGTCATCTGATGTTAGCATTTCCGGCTCTTTGGGAAAAACTACGAACGCCATTCCTAGAGGGTCAACACCCTTGTTGAAGAAAAGTGACATATAAATACATTTTTTTTGCTTTGATTGAATGTAACTGATTAATTGATTAATTAATACAATACCTTTAAAACTTTATTCGGATTCAATGATTCATTCTTTTCATCTGTTTTAATCTATAAATAAAAATTTATTACTGTATTGAATAACAACAATAACAATGATGTGTTTCATCAATGTCTACCATTTTCACAACAACTCAATTTCCAGACAATCGAAATTTGCAGAAGAGCTAAATATCAGCAATTTCGAGAGGAGGTAACCAAATCATTCTGAGTTTCCAAATGAAGACGCATTTATAATGATGAAAGATCAAGCAAATAATAATCGCGGAACTAAAAAGGCCCGAAATTGGAAAATCTTCGATGGGAATAATTAAATCATATGGGTAATTAAAACTGCCATTTTTTTAATACATGTCCATGTATTCGTTTCCAAAAATGAACTTTTGTGCATGTACCACTTTTGATTCTGGTTATCTTAAAGATACGTAATTCCTTCCCTATAAGAGCTCGTATTCTATCAAAATGTGACGCAAAGGGCCAAAAAAATTAATACATTCAAAAGAGAACACACTTGTCACATACACAACATAATGACAAAGATGTCTAAATATTTCATAAATAAAATATGATGTCATACATGTACTTCCAATAGAAAGGATGAATACATGTACCATTTTTCTAGAAAAAAAGTTAGTTAGTTTGCCTTTTTCGAACCATTAAAATGTATTATCACGCCACCAAAATTAAAACAATGCGATCGGTGATCAATTTTAGCCTTTTAACAATTGCCGTTAAATAAACTGTATTTAGAATTTGAAAATCTGCAACTTGCGTCGGATAATTGCGGAACGCAGAACGCATTTATAGTATATGTACAATCAAATCCAAATATTGTCGAACCCGCCAATCCTAAAGTTTTCAGAATATGCCTGAAATTTTTATTTGAATAAAATTAATTAAATAAAGCAAAAAGACAATTATAAAAGAAATACATGTACTTTTTTGTAATAATTCTTCAAGACTTAGATTTTAAATTAATATCATTTCTCTAATAATAATCCGGCGGCAGATTAAAATGAAATCATAAAATATTTAATAGTTATTTTGTACTTTAAGTCATACTTAAGTCTATTTCAAAATTTACAGCCTTCAAAAAAAATGATTTGATATCCTTTTAATTTAATTTGTTCATTCTAATTTGATTTCATTCTAATATTAATTAATAGTTGTCATGAATTAATTAAAATTGAATTGGTTGATCTTATTTGTATCTTTATCATGTATAATAAAGATTTCGAGCAGAAAAGACGATGCATTGTATCAAGAAGTATTTTTTCGTGTGGTGTCGCGTGTATTATAATGGGGAAAATTTCTCAAATTGGCTGGTTTTGGATATAGCAAGATTTAACGAAAAAATTCGTGAAGCCCCCCCCCCCCCCCTATATGAGTTCAGAGGTGCTAAATGGGAAACCATACACTAAAGCAGCAAATTATCGCTTTTGAAATTGGAACAGAAGAACAACCATTTTGCGAACGAAGTCATGATCTATAAAGGAATATTCTTGGATGGTGTAAATTTATTAAATGTTGCAGACCAACTGCTGAGAAACTTCATAACTTTATCTGGTTTATCACAGAAAAAAGACCAACGGACGAATTAGATATGTATGAACTAAATATTTTGCATTTGCAGCACTACAGCTCGTTAGAATCTCCTAAAACAAAAAAATGAATTAAAACGTACGCAGTGGCTCTCTTAATAGTGTACCTCCTTATAGTGGAAACTAATTAAACTCGGGATATAGAGGATAATATCCAAAACTACCTTTAATAAAAGCCATTCGATATAGTAAATTTACTAATAAACTCTCGATATAGTGAATTTTTTACTATTAAATTTTTTTGTTACACTATAAAGAGAGTTACTGTGTATGTTCAAATTAAAAAGGCCAAATTTAGATAATGAGGTCAAAAAAGACATTCCCACGAATATATAGTAAATCAAAAACAACAAATTCAATCAAACGGTAATTTACACCAGTCGAATCCTTGCTTCGGAATTATTATCAATCCTAAATACAGGTAACGAATATTGTCTTTTATGTCACATTTTATATATCTAATACGTATTTGGGTTAGACTGTATGTTTAAAATATTATTTATTATTTTTCTTTAGTGATAAAAACAGATCTCGATATTATTATACCAACGAAATGAAAAAAAGGATAGGGTGGGTAAGTTTACAGACTCTGTAAGTTACAAGCGTAACTTATATCTTAAGTTACAAATTCTCCTGTAACTCAAAATTACTAATTCAAATTTTATTATCAGCTTTATGATTAAATTTTTAATTCCAGCCAGCATTAAGAAAATATGATCCAGATTATAATAAATTTAATGGTAATCATAACTCCCATTCATGCTGATCATATAATAATTCACAAACTTTGTAAGACCTGCAGATTCAATATCTGTGGTCATTTACTAATATTAGAAAGCATTATTAACAAAAAATATATATAAGTCTTGAGTTTAAATTTGAATTTTCAGTATTTTATTTATTCATATAATTATTAAACATTTTATATATACTGATATTGTAAAATAAAATAATTAATTAATATTATGATATATTTATTAAATTTATCTTTATCTATTCTTTAGATATATAAAAACTGATTTATTAATTGATATTGATATTTTTAATATATTTAATAGTTACTAGAATTTTGTATTTTAATATATGAGCTGGTACAAAAAGATTGATATACTAATATAAAAATCAATAATTACTTCTAATAAAAATTATTCAAATTTTAACTAATTTTTATAATTTTTTTATATTAAGTAAAGAATAATCTAAAATAACTTTTTATACTATTTTAATTATTCTATTATACTTAATTTGATAATAAATAAAGCATTACTTTTACTAAAAAAACTAAAATAAATTTTTTTTTAAAAAAAAAGATATTTTAAATATTATCATTATTAATTTGCAAGTTTAAAACTTTAAATTATGCAAGTAGGTTGCTCTAGATTTGATAAATATATATTTTAAATTTTATAAAAATTGAATAAGTAATTATAAAGATATTAAGATTCAAAGTTTAATAATTAAATCAAATTTTATATAATAAAATTTAACTTAATTAAATAAGATAGAATTAAAATTTTATTTTGAAAAAATAATCTATTAATATTTATTTGATATATTAATCTTTTTATATCAAATTATATTAATATTAATATATATATTATAATTTTTTAAAAAAATAATAATTATTATAAATAGATTAAAATTATGAAAAATTAATAACAAGAAATTTATATATTATAACTTAAAATCTAAAAATATATTAATTTATAATAAATTTAATATTTTAATAAATAAGTATAAAAAAATCTTATTAAAATTTAAAATTTTATATACTTATAAATATAAATAATAGTATATATAATTTATAAAAAATATAGATAAATTTTTTATATTCTATAAGTATTTCTTAAAATTATTTATTTATTTATTTTATATAAATTATATAAAATTTTAAATATAATTATATATATAAAATTAAAAAAAGTTTAAAATTAATTATAATTAATTATAATTATTTTTTTAAAATTTATTTATAATATATTATAAAAAACTAAATAATTTTCATATAATATAAATATATTATACTTATTTAGATTTTATTTAATTTAAGTTATTTTTTGTTTTATAAACAAAAAATAATTTAAATTAAATTAATATAATTTCAGATATGTATTATAATTTATTTTTTAGATTATGCTAAGAATATTATATTTTACTTTTTCATTATATATCTAAGATAATTATAATCTATATATTAAATATTATATAAGTTATATTTGTATTATTACTTGAAAATTACTAAAATATATATTAATATAATATATATTTTATATTTTAAATCATAAATTAAATAATATATATTTTGCTTTTTATAATATATATCAAAATAATATATTTTATATATTAGATTATATAATATATTATATATTAGTTTAGTAATTATAACTAATTTTTATTATTGGATCACATAAATAAAAAAAATATATTAATGATATTATTACCATAATAATATAAAATTTCTTAATTTCTTAATTTTTTCTTAGTTATGCAAAATCACATATTTCTATATTTTTCATTTATTTTATAATTATCCCTATTTTCATATTATTTATTACTATATTTATTATTATGTTTCTATTTTTAAATATTATATCTTATTTAATATTTAGGATTTATATTTTTATTATCTTGTAATATAATATTTATATACATAGTAGAATAGTTTAGTGAAAGATTATTTTTAATTTTGATAAAACAGTTATATTTGGATAATGATCTCAAATATCTTTTCACGTTCTTTGATATCCTTTAATATTCTCTCATATTTTTTCATATCCTTTCATATCTTTTAACATCTTTTCACATTTTCTTACATCTTTCCATATCTTTCAACATCCTTTCATATACTTTAATATTCTTCAATATTCTTTGACATCTTTTAATATACTTTGACATAATCTATTTATAATTATTTATATTATAATACTTTAATTATATCTTATATATTAGATAGTATTAGCTAATAATATTATAATAATTCTTATATCTGAAAAATATATAAAAAGATCTACTATTCCAACTTGAAATAAACAGTTTTGAATTGAATTATTTGAAAAATATAATTTTAAAGATTATTTTTCTAATCTAATTATATTAGTATCTTTTCTTTTACTCAGTTTTATTCTTTTGATTATATAAAGTTGATTTTAAATTTTTAGATTATAATGTTATATTTTTGATTTTTAATATTGTTTTGAGAATAGAAGATCTCTATTATAAATAAGTCATACTTTTTGTTTTATTATTTTAAGAGTAGAAGATCTCTATAAATAAGCCATACTTTTTATTTTATTATTTTGAGAGTAGAAGATCTCTATTATAAATAAGCTATATCCTTTTTATTTATTTAGTTACTTAGTTTTTGTATTTTATTTTCTACCTTTACTTTAGCTATAATCTTCTTTGATTAATAATTTACTATTTAATCAATTCAAATCTTGAATTATATTGAATACTAGTGGCTTCACTCAGATAATCTTTATAATTTCTTTGATTTATTTTATTCTTTTTTTATTTTATTA